TCTACATATGTCCCATCATGCCTCTCTACATATGTCCCATCATGCCTCTCTACATATGTCCCAGCATGCCAAGCTAACCTTGCTGAATAAACAGAGAACAGTGAATAATCGTTCTCAGCGAATCGTTGTTTTATTGCTCCCTCGATACAGCGAATGCGCACGACAACATACATTGAGTTCATGTCTAATGAGGAGAGTACAATTAACGGTAGTACGAAGAACCTGACGTGGTCCCATTGACACGACATATTCACAATGACAAGAAAAGATCTCGGTAAAGAACCTCTATATCGTGACAAGGTCACAAAGACGAGATAAGGTCATGGTGACACGACAAAAGTCACAATGTGTCTACCCTTGTGACAAGGTCACAGAGATATGAAAAAGTCACGGTGACGCCGCAGTCACTTGACAAGGTGACGGTGACAGGTTGAGATCCCTGTCACACAGAAACATGACGAATGAGAAGAGACGCTGTGACGACGTCTACACACATTCGCTACAGTCGATCACCGCTTTGTCAGTTATTCACGTAAATCATTCACCCGAGAAGAAGTGAATCGTTTGCCGAATTATATCGTATCTTGGCAGTTACTTACAAAAACATATTCGATCGAGTTTGGATCGATCTTGTACAAAAGTTGGCACTGCTTGTTAATTATTTACATTGATCAATCGCTCAAGGTAGCGTTGCTTGAGCACCTATTTAAACCGTGTAATCAACCCTAGAGTTCCATTACATTTCTGCTTTTGAGGTTAGAGTAGCTTTAGAAAAATTGACTGAATATCATCCACACCCCGATTGTAAACTCTTCACCATCAAAGCACTACCTGGCAATTTCTCAAGTTTCAAGTTTTCCTTCTACCAATCAAGCCGGGGAGATGTGCTCCAGAAATACTGAGACACACAGAGATAGATAGATAGAGATAAACAGATAGAACAAGAGATAGACAGAGAGAAGGTGAGCCCCAGACAGTAAGACAGACAGAGAGAATGAGAGAAAGAGAGAGAGAGAGAGAGAGAGAGGGAGAGATAGTAAGAGAAAGAAAGAGATAGAGCCATAGAAAAACAGAAAACAGACATAAAGAAACAGTCAGAGAAAAAGAAAGCAAGAAAAAAAAATACACATAAAGATAAGCAGATACACAGATAGATTGAGAGAGAGGCAGATATAGACAGATAGCACACAATATTTCCCGGCCCCACCCTCACTAATTAGGGACAAGGGCTCCCTACCTTCTACATCATAGAATAAACCGACGTTACGCGACAGCACTCAGGTATATGAGATTATGCAACACACGCGTCTATCTATAGCACCTATCATATGCACACCGCAAGAGGGCGCTAGCGGTCATCGCGAGAGGGCGCTAGCGGTAATCGCGAGAGGGCGCTAGTGGTCATCACGGGAGGGCGCTAGCGGTCATCGCGAGAGGGCGCTAGCGGTCATCACGGGAGGGCGCTAGCGGTCATCGCGAGAGGGCGCTAGCGCTCATCGCGAGGGCGCTAGCGGTCATCGCGAGAGGGCGCTAGCGGTAATCGCGAGGGCGCTAGCGGTCATCGCGAGAGGGCGCTAGCGGTAATCGCGAGAGGGCGCTAGCGGTAATCGCGAGAGGGCGCTAGCGGTCATCGCGAGAGGGCGCTAGCGGTCATCGCGACCGCGGTCACCGCGGCGACGCGCGCTCCTGACTCGTTGTGCTCTCTACTTGCCGCGTACGTTTGTGTCGGCGGTGGCGCCCCCTGCAGGCGGTAGTCCGGGCACACGCAGCGTGATGTCCTCGTTGCCGGCGCGGCGGACGTCTGCGGACGAACGAAAAGACGGTTGCCGTTAGTCGCCAGGGGGCGCCGCTGGTCTAGGGTTCTCGGGTGCGATCGATCGATCGTCCTGGCGTGATTGGAAGCAGAAGGCAGAAAGGTTCGATATGATATGACTACTAGGCACTTTAATTTAATTTAATTTAATTTTTTTTAGGGTTAGGGTTAGGGTTAGGGTTTTTTTTTTTAAGTGCCTAGTAGTCATATCATATCGCACCTAACTGCCGGGTGCTGATTGGAACCTCTACTGGTCACGATCAACATTGCGATGGGGACATTTTGAAAAATACTGCCTAGCATCGAAGTGCTGCCAGGTCGACAATGAAGCGTGTACATATATAAATGTTTAAAATATAGTTAACTAGTAGTAGTAAACTATAGTTAAAATACAAATATAGTTTAACTCGCTCTCATTTCCGAATATCGTGTTCAGTTGCGGACTTCACGGAAGCAAAATCCTGGGTTCGCACGTGTGCATAATGGTGACAGTCGTGCATCGCAATATACTTATCTGCCTTCGCCACATAAACACAACTTGTTGTTGTAGCTAGGTCGCTCAAGCTAGACCAGTAGATACACATCTTAAACTGGGTTTACACTACCGACTTTATGTTGGCGAATTGCCAAATTGGACCAACTTCTCAACTATACAACCGACAATCGACAGTGTAAACGCAAAAGTTGCGCGACCAACCGATCGATAGCAACTAGTTGGGAGATTAGAACATGTTCTATTTTTGCCAACTCGGAGTTGGCAAATTGGTAAGTTGGTCCAACTCGCCATTTCGCCAACATAAAGTCGGTAGTGTAAACCCAGCTTGTGATGTGTATCTACTGGTCTAGCTTGTGCGACCTAGCTACAACAACAAGTTGTGTTTATGTGGCGAAGGCAGATAAGTATATTGCGATGCACGACTGTCACCATTATTCACACGTGCGAACCCAGGATTTTGCTTCCGTGAAGTCCGCAACTGAACACGATATTCGGAAATGAGAGCGAGTTAAACTGAGTTTCATTAAGGTGGTCACACCATACAGCAAGAAGGAATTGAGCGTGGGGTCCAGACGGGCCTAGGGCAAAGAGAAAGGCAAGAAAGAAGAAGGAGAGGTAAGAATGATGGTAATGAGAGGCGGGAAGGAAGGTAGCGAGCATGGGCGGAGCCAGGAAGGATGGCAGGGAGCATGGAGGGAGGAAGGAAAAATTATAGGAAGAACGGAAGGGAGGTAGGAAAGATGGCAAGGAGCAGAGAGGGCAGTAGAAAGGAAGATGGGGAGCATGGGAAAGACACGAAGGATGGCAGGGAGCATGGAGGGAGGAAGGAAGAATTATAGGAAGAACAGAGGAGAGGTAGGAAAGATGGCAAGGAGCAGAGAGGGCAGTAGAAAGGAAGATGGGGAGCATGGGAAAGACAGGAAGAGATGTCTATAGTCGATGATTCAAGAGTAAAGAAAGAATAACATACAAGTCGTAGAGTGACACCAGAAAACCATATCTACGTTTGTTACCTGATGCATTGAGCTCCTGGTGTCCATCTACATCCAGGGTTTCTGAGCTCGCAGATATATTGATTGCACTACTGTCGTCCTCTAGGCTGATTGTGCTGCCACCTGGTGAGGAATCACCCATCGCGCATCGCCTGAATTGTGGGAAAAATGTCAAAATCTCCTTCTGCTTTATCTAGTCATTGTAAACAGTTCTTGGTTTTGAGACAAACCTACCTAATACCAAGACACCACATTAAACCAGCACTGCTAACCCATGATATAAAATGTAATCTTACTGACAAAGAATGTAACATACATGATATACTATGTCACACCCTCCATAAACGTCAGCTTATATATGTAACTCGCAAAATGCAGACTTTCCCATCACGCTTGCTCCCTGCCNTCACTTCTCTCTCGCCTCTCTCTCTCTCTCTTTCTCTCTCTCTCTGTCTCGTCTCTTCTTCTCTCTCTCTAACTCTCTTCTCTCTCTCTCTCTCTCTCTCTCTCTCGCACGCTCTCTCTCTCTAATCTTCTCTCTCTCTCTCTCTCTCTCTCCTCTCATCTCTCTCTCTCTCTCTCTCTCTCTCTCTCTCTTCCCTCTCTCTCCTCTTCTCTCTCTCCTGCCTCCTCTCTTCTCCCGCGCTATCTCTTCTCTCTAACAGATCCCCCTTCTCCCTATGACAGCGTCGGCTGCGGCCGTTGAAGAGACTGGTCGCCGCGCTGCAACACAGCCAAGTGACCTTGACCTTGAAAAAGCGACCGCGAAATGTCGACATGTTCGGGAACACTCCCACAAAACACCGGAAGCCGCTGCGACCGCAGTGAGTGACCGCGGCAGTGGCGGCGGCGGCGGAAGCTTTAGCTGCTCTTGTGTTTTCGTTTCCTGATCTCGACATCGATATTATTTATTATTATTATTTATTTATTTATTGCGATGTGTTGCGATGTGTTGTCTTTGTATTCAGCATACTCTACCATGCGCTCTGTACACCTGCTTCTCTTATTTTGGGGGCCATTTCATTTGATGTTCGTAGCTGCTCTCGTAATGTTTTCTCTTCGGCACACACGTGCCGCTGCCATTTAAGCTGCTCTGCTGTTTTATTTTCGTCGCCGTCGCGCAATCCCACTTCAACGCTCTGCCGTTTTGCGATTTTCCGCGCCCGCCGCGAAATCCCACATCGGGCTGCTCTGATGTTCTTGGTATTTGGCGCACCTGCAGGGGCGCGCGATGCTCGCTTCCCCGAAGCACAGACGGAGCGCACACGAGCGTGGCGCGACGCGGGAGATTTCGCGGGTGAATGTCATCTACTGTTGCCGGGCGGGCCGTAACGACCGCTGCTCAAGCGTACACAGTTAAACAGTAGCCCACCACGATCGAGTCTATTATGCACCTGTGTGTTCGAGTAGTGAATTGTCTCGATTCATTCGATTATACGTCGATTCATCGGTTGAACATGTGGCTCGACCAAGCGCTTGCTTTTATCAAATATCCATAATCAATTTTCATTGAAAAAATGGAAAATTCCGCGGTAAAAAAAATAATTTCGAAAAAAGTGATGAGAATCAGAGAGATCATCGCTTACTATACAAAAGTTATCCTTTATTTAACATAGCTCATGTATTATACACACGTAGTAAAACAGTGCAAAACAAACCAGTATAACATGCGGCCTAAACAAGCAGCATACATGCACACAACTGTACATCGCATCACGACGTTTACGCCCACAGCAGGCATTCAACACCCCGATGTAATCACGATGTTACCGTTCAATCATGTTATTGGGTCCAACGATGATCGACGTTACGAAATTACAAACCGATTGACAACACTAGTGTTTACGGTTTGAGAGTATAGGCGTGTTGGAGTTTTAGGCGTCGGGTGAGTGCGACTAACACCAGTGAGCTCGTATAATATGCTGTACGCTGTGTGTTAGGTTAGAGTCGAGGGACGAGTTTGAGGGGTCGTGAGGTGCGGACTTAGACCAGTAAGTTCTATATACGCACGCTGCTGTGTTAGGGCTTTTAGACGGTAGGGGGCCGAGTTGAGGGTGGGTGAGTGCGGGACTACAACAGTGAGTTATATATGGCACGCTGTGTGTTAGGCTAAGAGGTAGGGGCCGAGTTTTGAGGGTGGGTGAGTGCGACTAAC